ATAATAATAATAATAATAGTAAATATATAAATATATACAAAGTGAAAAAAAAAAAATAACAACAAAAAGAAGGAAAGAAAGAAATTAAAAAGAAAAAAAAAAACTAAAATAAATTAGATTTAGTGAAAGGACTATAAAAAAATGGTAAGTAAAAAAAAGTTTTTTTTTTTTTATATATATATATATACATATAAATTAATCATTATCATTGTTCATTTGAAATAATGGTGATAATGGTGGCTAAATAATAATGTCCTAAAAACACCTTTTTTTTTTAAAACACCTTTTTTTTTCCCTTATTTTATCACACTTATATTAGGAATGATTGGGACCAATCTCGCCAATGAATTTCTTTGCCAATGAAATTTCTTTTGCCAATAACCTGCCCAATGAATAATTAATCTTTATCTATTAACAAAATGCTTGATTTTTTTCGTTTCACCTATAATAGGTATTAAGGATTTTGCTTTTAAATAAAGATCATTAGAAATATGACCATCTAAACAAGAATGATTAAATCTCATAATTCCAACCCTTTTTAAATTCCTGTTTTTTTCAGCATAAGAAATAATTCCTTTCAAATGATCATCATCCAATGAAATATAAATATCTAATTCTTGAATAGGTACAGAAAATTCTTTGTAAAACATTTCATAACCGGTAAGATCAACTAAAAATGATATTCCAAGACGGGTTAAAGAAATTGGAATCGAAATCGCTAATTTAATTAATTGATTTATCTTATTTGAAGATTCAGGTGATAAAGGATCCTCATATCTTCCAGATTCAATAATAATTAAAGTTTTAAGTAATTTTAATAAAGAAATTATTTCATATAATTTAATTAAACCAAAAGTTGAAATTTTTAAAGATAAATAAGTTAAATTAATTGGACAACTTAATTTTAAAAAAGAAATAGTTCTACAAGTAACAAATTCCATTGTAAGAGATTCTAATTTATGTTTTGATAAATTAATAAGTATTGCCATCGCATCTTCAAAATTTTGTATATTCCTTTCCATCTCAATTTGATAAGCTAATAAATTTTCAATATGTATTGGAGGTAAAGAAATATGAGAATTATAAAGTTCACATAAATCTTCAACTTCAAAATATTCCGTTAATTCAAGAGTTTTTAATTTAACACAATGATATAATATTGGTAATAAAGAATGAAAATTACTTAATTCTATAATTCTAAGAAATTTTAAAGAATTTGCTTGACTTTGAATTGAATTAATAAAAGAATAATCAATATATTCTGTTACTTGAAGGGAATAAAGATTTTTTTGTGATTCAATTAATTTTGCCAAAGATTTACTAACTTTTGATGTATTAGTTGAATCAAAAAAGATATCAATAATTAAATCTTGAATATTATTAGAATATTTTGATAATTCAATAAAAAAATTTGAAATTTTATCACCAAGTGATCCATCAATATCATGTCCCCAACTAAAATATTTTAATTCTAATTTTTCTAAATTAATTAAAACTTTTTTAATATTATTAAATGTTAAAATTTTTTGAAATATATTATATTCAAAAGATTTTTCTTCTTCATCATGATATTTATCATGACTTAAATTTAACATTTTGAAATTTTTTGTACGAGTAAAAATTAAATCTCCCATTAATTGAAATATAAAAATATGTATATTAAAAGGTTGTACAAAATAATTAAAATATGATTCGGTCCATTTTTTTATTGCATACTCAAAATTTTGATAATCAAATCCTTTAATATAACTAGCATAATCAAATAATGCTATTTTTATTTCAATTGAATCGTTAAATTCTTTCATTAATTGTTGTTTTTCTTTTTCTTTTAAACATGATACCAATGTATTTATAATTATATATGATTTCTTCATGTTCTCTTTTTCAAAAGGTCGACTCCAAAGTAAAGGAATTGTAAGTTGACAAAAATTTCGGTCAACAAATAAACATTCGTAAAGTGTTTTCTTATCATCACGAAGAAATTTTAATATATCCGCTATACAATCATAAGGAAGTATTGATTGCATATTATTTTAAAATATATATATATATATATTTTTTTTTTTTTGTCTTGAAATATTTATTATTTTAAAGTTTTTATTNTTTCTTTTTTTTTTTTTTTTTTTTTTAATTAAAAAGGGAAGGAGGAAAAAGAACATAAAAAAAAAAAATATAACAAATTTTTAATTTGTTTATAAGACTGGTGCCACATTATTCCTCATTAAGAAATTTGAGTCACGGAAATCAAAATTACCTCACGACGCCATGATTTTCATTTAACTTGAACAAGTAAGCCACTTAAACGCAGTTCTTTCTTTTTGAAGCCGCAGTGAACAATTAAGATAAACGTATTTATTATTCATTTTCATTTAATTTCATTTATAATCTGTTTTAAAAAAGGAAAATTTATTAATTAATCTATCCTTCGAAGATCAATACATTTTAGGTTTAGTCTATTGATCAACTTCATTTTTATATGGAAGTTCTTTTCCTCTTGTCCGATTGATACTTTTCTGGGACATAAATGAAATTTCAATTTAGTTGTTAAAATTATTCATTTACACATGAATGGGCCAGGCAAAGAAAAGTACATCTGTACATGTGATGTCATTCCATCATAACTATACAAATATTAAAGAATTGCCACAGAATTTGCCACACCACACCATGTAATTTATTATCATTTTTATATCGAAATATTTATTTATTTCTACCTATTTTTGACTAGAATTCCTTCAGGTTTCTTAATGATGTTCTCTTATAGATTTGTCCTAGAGGGAATATATAACAATAAAGTGGCTGCTACCGTACTACGTATTACCAATAGTAGTAGCATATATATTTTGAGTTTATCTTTTGTATGTATCCTTGTAAAATAATTTTTCCGTTTTTTTATCCATAGTTGTAGGACAACATTCCCGTAATTTAAAAATGATTGCTCGTTTTATGAAGTCATAAATACTGTATAAGTGTATAACCAACGGAGATATAATCTAGATCGCATTTAGGGATAATTTTCGATCCGATTTGATTCAAATAATAACCGATAACCAAAGTAGTATTCACCTTAATATGTTGCAAACTTGCAATATTGATAATATAGATTAAATATTTTGAATACAATAATTTATATTTTGTATTTTCTGAACCTTTATTTATTATAGTACATTTATCATTATACATATCATTCATTATATATCATTCCAATTTTTACACGCTTTTTCTAATAATAAAATATTTTCTTTGAATCTTGTGTAAATGTTGTACACCTAATTTCCTTTAATTAAAAGTACTGCCGAAACTAAATGTTTAGGCGTAGCCGAAACCGAAATAAGTAAAGTTTATATTTAAAGTTTTGATTCGTGAGACAATAATATTATAGCCGAAGATCATAATTAGGTTTAGGAGAGGGCTTTTTGAAAGAAGTCCCCTAATCAATCTTTAGAAGTTCCCGAAACATGCATATTATTTAATTATTGGGCACAAAAAAAATTTTATAGACAATTAATAAAGAATGTTAATAAATAAATAATTTGACTGTTATAAATACAATAGCTAATATTACAATATACAATTTTTTTTTCCCCAAATCTGGATAAACAAACCTGCTCAGAATATCGTTAAATTAAGACATTTTCAGCTTGGTTCGATTGATTAAACTTTTTGACTTTCACCTGTCCGAAAAATACGATGTATATTCGGTCCGTTTGGTCAAACTTCACTTATTGAATGAGTTAGTTCAAATATTCAGTATTTTCAATTTGTGGGAAAAAATTGTGAGATTATATTTCTAACTTTGTAACAAAAATTGTCGGAAGACATTTCGGATTGCAACAGGTTGCAATCTAACTTCAATTATAACGAAACCGCTTACAAATACAGAAGTTTAATATTACGACATAGGTTGTTAAATGGTCGCAACATCATCAGGCCACATTATTAAAATATTATTCTCACGGTAAAGGGATTGAGTATATTAAAAATAGGCGTGGGAAATTAACGTTGAGGGAAAAAATGGGTTGATAAAATTTCCTTTCGTATCAATTGTGACTAGATTGATTAACCTTTTTGAGTTTCTTTTGAGGATTATTTTTATTCCAAGAGAGTTTTGTAAAACAAATTTTTTGTAATATGTGTAAAATATGATCTAATGTAGATGAACGATAACTTGAATATTGTACGAATGAAGTTAGTAAATATAAAAATTAACATCGTATAAATTATTAACTACAGAATCTCTTACCGAACGTTAGTTTGATGATTCGTTATTGTGTGTGTTTTTTTTCAATTCTTCAATTACTTTCTTAGATTGAGATAGTAAGTATCCTTGTCTTATCTAAGCAAAAATTAAACAAGTCAATACGCGTTAATTTTCTAAAATTTAAATTGTTCTGACATTATTCTTCCTTCTCGTCCTTCTCATCAAGGAGGATCTTCACAAAATCAATAGCAATAACGTAGTAAATTTTACAATTTGTACTGAATTCTAATTATTGCTTGCTCAAATTACATTCTGGTATAGTTGTTGAGAGTTCTTAAAATCTTAAAAGCTAAAAAGCTAAGTGAAATCTACGAGGTAGTTGAATTCATTCATTATATTTTAGATGTTCTATAGGAAAGACGAAATCTTTTTAACAATTTGATCTTCTCTTTCCTGTAACGAACGTTAATGCTTTCAGGATCTACATCACTTTGGTTAACTTCAATTTTCTCAAGAGCTTTCAACCTGTTAACTGTAAAGTATAATTTAATTTTGATGGAAAAAAAAAAATAGATATAGCAGAAAACTGATTTAAAAGAAATAAATTACTCTCAAGCAAATTCAATTGTTTATGGAATTCTTCTTTAGTTAGAAATGGACCATCATCTACAGCTTTAGTTCGTACGAGTTTAAGAGTTTGCTTATTTTTTCCTTAAATTAATAATAAGAATTCAGATAACATTAATATCAAATATTCTTTTAATTTTATTATTTATATGGTACCTTCTTTTAGTTTGCATGACCGTTTTTTCATTGTGGGTTTTATTGCCTTTACATAATTTCTTTTTTTAACTTGATTTAAATCAAATAATTAATTAAAATTGATAATATTAGTAATAATAATTAATAATAAAATCTTCTTTTCGTACCACAGATGGGATCCTTCCATTTATGATTTGTTAGAATTACAATTCTTTTAATAAAGCGATAGACGCCATATATAAAAATAAGAATAAATGGTACAACATAAAAGAAGATTGGAATATTTAGAATATCGCATAAAGTAAAAAATTTGTATAAAATTATAATAGAAACGATAACAATGAAAAGATATATTAAATATTTCATCTTGATCAAATTTAAGAGAAACATTTTTTCGTTTGAATCATATTGCACTTACGTATTATTATAGCATTACGTACAATACCACGTGAAACGCCACAATATAAAAACCAGAGATATACTGTCTACTTTGTCAAGAGAAAATCACTACAACTAGGGTTCACAGTCAGTTTGAAAAATGTACCTTAAATAAAGATATTATAATCTGTTCGGACATGTTTTTTGTGCAAGGCCTGCGTTTAATCAGTTTTCCAATAATGAAGGATGTAAGTGGTAGTAACTTTAAATTTGATTCGTGATTTTTTTCTTTACTAATCTCTAATTGTTTTTGCGGAAGTTGATTCTAATTGTTTTTACGGAAATAGTTTTAGTTATACTCATTATTTAGATAACTTTCGCTTAAACAATTTTCAAATATATTAAAAAAGATTTCTTTCCTTTGCTTTAGGGTCCTGTTTTTATAACTTTTGCAATTAAAGGCTTAACATTGCTTGAGACGATACGTATTCTCCCTTGTCGATTCTCCCGTATAATACATATTACAATATTACAAAGTACGCCCGCAGTTCTATTCCATTGCAAATATAATGGGAATGCAAATTTTTAGTCCATAAAATTGGTTTGATTTCTTAATTATTTTTGTTTTTTTTTTTATTTTGTTTGATTTTTTTTAAATTTTTAAAGAAATAATTGTTTTTTCATCAACTTTTTCATATATATTCATAGTGATTCACCAATTATAACTTGGTTACCAAATCAACTCAGTATTATATTAGTATAATAGATATATATAAAGTCATTTTAATTTTTAAAAATAGGTAGATACAACAGAGATATACACGCGGGAGAGAAACATTACACTGTACATTGAAAACCCTATAATCTGAATTCAGTTTAACGTAATGTTCTTATCTTTCTTATCTTAACCTTAAAAGATCCGTCAAAAATATAAAGCCATGGCTATTCTTTATCACGAATTTCTCCTATTTTTTTTTACGAGATATCTATAACACATTTAAAAATGGATATTTTCATTGAATATAATCCGACAATAATTACAATAGTTATAATAATCATACGAATTCCTATATTTGTAAAACATTATAGTATTTATAGTGTCTTTTACGCCAACCAGATATTATTATTATTTTATCATACGATCAATTTTTCTTGATTTCAAATATCATACGATTTATTTTCTTGATCTTCTATTTGTTATTTAAATATTCTCGGATTATCGGCAATTTGTACCTTACAAGAGAAAATTGCTTTAAGCCGATCAATACTATATTAATACTATATCAATATTTTTTTCTTTTATTTTACTATTTTCATCTTGGAGAAAACAATGAATTCCCTTTTTGATGAGAAGCGATGTAGTACATGTTTATTTCAACATCACGTGAATAAAAGTTTGTCTCCTTGAATTGTTGATCACGGGATGCATCTATTTAACATGCTCATTGAATGTATTGGCTTAATTTTGAGCACCATTGTCCTACGTAACTATTAAATCATTATCAATAATTTGACTCGTAATTTAAAATCAAGTCCATATAAGACAATTAGGCTTAGATTTACAAAAGATCACGATCCGAATTTTTCACATACTATTTACAATATCATCGTGTTTTAAAGTTTATGCACGGAAATCATATTTTTAGAAGCCACATTTCCTAACTTATTTTTTCATATTCAATGGTTCAACCAGAAAAAATATTATTCATTTCTCCAGATCAAGAATTACCGTAAGCTTTCTTTATTTATTTTACTTTGTAAAAAAAAAAAAAAACAAATAAACAATAAGGTCATAAGAATAAGAATTCATTCAAAAAATCACTTTTTTTTTTATTTTTTTGATGATATATCAGATAAACAAAACTTATTATTATATAAGTAAATTGATTATTATTATACTTAATAATAATTTTTTTTAAAAAAAAAAAAAAATTCTCTCCCCCCGTTAAAATCAAAAAAAAAAATGATGGCAATAGAACTTCCTCCAGAAATTTTAATGATAATTTTTATTTATTTAACTCCTTCTGATCTTTATACAATTTCTTCAGTATGTAAAAAATTTAGATCCATATTATGGCCAAAAACTGAAATATCTCAACATATTTGGCGTAAATCAAGATTACATCATATACCATTCTTAAATCGTTCTCCACCAAAGTTATGTACTACAACGTCAGGTACCGAAGTGATGAGTGAACAACAATATCTTTGGTTGATGATTATATGTGAAAAATGTCAATTCTGTGAACAAAAAGACAAAATTAAATTAACTCTTTATTGGGAAGCCAAATTTTATTGTTGTTCAACCTGTTTACAGAAAAGAACTATTAGGTAAAAAAAAAAAATTTTAATATGTGTAAATAAATAAATAAATATATATATATATACCAACCCATATGTACTAAAATGTATATATATATTGTCCGTATAATATATACCATATATGTATATTAATTTTATTTATTTTCTTATATTCTTATAGTGGTTATAAATTAATACAAGGATTTCCAAAAGTTTTAATAAAATTCTTAAATGAATTGCCAAAAATGCCCGGTGTGGCTAATTGGGAACCACAATTGTATTTTGAGTCTGAAGCAAAAAGGTTATTAGAAGAATATAATCAAGTGAGGGAATATGAAAGAGATGCATGGATTGAAAGGAAAGAATCTATAACCAAAGAAACAAAAAAAGAAATTAAAATTTATAGAGAATTTCATTCGGAATTTAAATACAATTTTCGTGAAGTGGCTCGAAAAATGGCACTAGAAATAGAAGCAGAGGATTATGAGGATAAAATCATGGGTTTAAAAGAATTCAAAAATTTTTACTGTACTCAATTGGCAACCCCTTCCAAATTTATCAAACATACAAAGGTTTAATGAAAAGCCTTTAGGTCTAGACCTAATTATTTTATGTCACCAGACAATCAACTCCTTTTTATATATAATATATACATATTTAAAGTTGATTGTGATTGTTTTATTTACTTATTTTAAAATACTCATTTTATTTTCCTAATCAAATTGTTCGAATAATAAATAATTAATTTATCTTTATTTTACTTTTTGATACAAGTAAAAAGATAAGAATAAGATCTTTATTATTAATAGTTTTTCTTCTTTTAAAACTATGAATAATATTTAAATTTTGTTATTTTTTAAATTTTTTCAATTTTTTTTGTTGGAATTTTTTACAGGGTATTTTTTCGTTAATAAAATGATTTAGAGAAAAACTAGCTTAAAAAAAATGATAATAAACTAAAAAATATACGCAATAAAGAAAAAAATATGTAATACATACAGTAAATGATAGAATTCAACGCAAATAAAAACAACGCAAAAACCGATGTAACAGAATAATAAAATTTCGATTATCATTTTTTTAACGCTAATTTTTAATCGCAAGAAAAGAAAAAAAAAGATAAATGTCTACGGGGGAAATTTTTTTCATATGAAAAAAAAAGTATAGACATTCAATGAGTAAGATAATAATTCAAAATAATAGATTAAAGGAAAGGATATAATATATATTTCCGTCGCAAATTCAAAATCGCAAAAAAAAAAAATAAATGATTTAAATGATAAAACTCGAACCATTTCTTTTTTTTTTTTTTAATCGCCCGCGTTTAAATAAAGAATGATAGATAATGTTGTGTGTGTTTTTCGTTTGCGTAAATTCATTTTCGTGGTTTAGGTCTTCTCACTCTTTCGACGCTTAATGCTATTCCATTAACTAACACGGCACCTTCGCTAACAGCATTATGATATGCGGTTGGTGAAGCAAAATCCGCAAACGCACAGGCCTATTATATATATTTAATTAGTTTAATAATAAATAAATTAGACATAAATATTATTGAAATATAACATTACCTTTGAAGTTATAATATCAATACTATCTACTTTGCCAAATGAATCTTCAAGACATCTCTTTAATGAATCTTTGTCGATTTCACTTGTAATAGAGCCGATAAAAGCGCGGTAACCTTTTTGTTAAAATGCTTTATTAAGTAAAATCAGAAAATTAAATATAACCGCAGTAAAGTAAAAAAAAAAAAAATTACCTCCACGAGTTTTTTTATTATTTGGATCATTGGAAGTCGTATCCCATCCGTTATAGTTCGTATAGTTTGTTGAATATTGCCTACGAGGTGAAGGTTTTGGGGATGTTCCAACCGTTGATGATTTGTTCTGTAAATCTTGTATTAGTTCCGATTGAGATTGTACTATCTTTAGATATTTGGCCACGATAGCTTCTTGTTGTTCAAGTTGTGCTTTAAGAACAACACAATTTCGACAAGATTTTTCGTTCACGTTCATTTTTTTTAATACCGTGTTTCTGTTAACGAAAAAAAAAAAAAAAAAAATTTATAACTTTTTTTGTAATGTAAAAAAATGGTTATTGTAATTGTGCTTTTTTTTCTCTTATTTGGTATATGTAATGGAGTTATCCCTTAATCGGGAATAGTATAATAGTATTACATTTATCTCAATTTGGTTAAAGTTTGACGAATTATTTAATTAAAAATTTTTTTTCTCAAAATTNAAAAAAAAAAAAAAATTTTTATTTTTTTTTCTTACTATTGTTGTACGACTGCGCCTTTTTATTATTTTATTTATTGCAAAGAATGGAAAGAATGGCTCATACGGTAAGCTGGGAATAAAAAATTTCCGTACTGCGGAAATTATTTTTAACTTGACAAATATTTGATCGAACGTCAAATTTATAACTTTTTTTGTAATGTAAAAAAATGGTTATTGTAATTGTGCTTTTTTTTCTCTTATTTGGTATATGTAATGGAGTTATCCCTTAATCGGGAATAGTATAATAGTATTACATTTATCTCAATTTGGTTAAAGTTTGACGAATTATTTAATTAAAAATTTTTTTTCTCAAAATTTGTTACACATCATTAATTAATATTACCGCAGTATTGTAGTAAATCTTCACCATAAATCAATTTTACGGAATCTTAAATAAAAATTACTCCGTATAAAAAATGGTTTACGTAATAACCTTCATACTATGAGCGAATCATAATAACAATAATTTTTTTAAACTTTATTAAAATTCTTCAAAAGGATAATGGTTTACACCGATATAAAAAAAAAAGGGTCTCGTATTTACCGTATCTGCCGCAATTATCGCAACCGTAACGATTAACAGTTCATAATTTATTAAAATTAACAAACATAAATATTTTTTAAAAAAGTAATATGACTCAATTTACATAAATGAAGATATATATCACTATAACTCATAATGAACAACTTTTGTGTAACACTTGTTCCGTCATTTATTTTGCCCAAATCGATACGTTACATATGACACAAATGACACATATATTACGTGGAAAGATAACTTATAGCAATTGCATTATCGTGTTATCGTGTATAATTTGTACGCATGTTCCGCATGTTCATTATGAAATAGTTCGCGTTTACAAAGTTGTCCTTTCATCATTATGCCAAGGTCCTTTTTTAAAAAAAAATCACTTTGTTTTGATGTTAATTTATGATTATCCGTTTTACAATGAAATATATAATAAATACAACGGAATGAACGGAATAATGTTTATTTTGATTTTGATTTGCAACATTAAATAAACCTATATATAGGAAACTACGTATTAATCTTTTGTCAAAGAAATCAATATTAAAAATGAGTCACAAGTGTCAATCACGCGACTATTGTTGTGTCATAATTTAAGTTTTAGAAGTGGTCCGAGCAAAAAAAAAAAATCGAAAATTGGCGTATATGAACACATGATTTTTTAAAGTTTTTTTTTTTCGGGCATCTAGCCATCTACGAAATTTCTATTTTGTATATAATTATTTATTTATGGTAAAATTATTTTTTATATACATTATTTATAGGTTTGAAATTTTTCCGGCCGGATTCCTCCGGTCCTGAATCTGTAAAAAAAAGTTGGATTGTTCAAAATTTACTATTATATAATTTATATAGTTTGATTACTAATAGCAAATTCACGTGATTTCTTTCACATCACGTGACTTAGACTGCTTTAGTTTGAATTACAGGCAATACGCATCTTAGTTTGTATACTAAGTTATAGATATGTACTTTAAATTCTTTGTAATTATTTATAATTCAATTTATATAATAATTTTGATATAATTAATGTGTATATAAAAATTAATTTTTTATTATAAATATAAAATTAATACAATTAATAATATAAATTTTATATTTTATTTATACTTAATATTTATATAAAAAATATTTTTATTATAAAGTTAATAATTTTTTTTTTTTTAAATTATAAATGCAGTCTTGTCATATTATAACTATGCTTACTTACATATTAAACTTATACAAATAAGAAAAAACTAAAATGCAGTTATATTACTATTACAAATAGTGATACAACCAAAATCTCTAGGTGGTCTAAAAATTTGCCCAATATCCATCCCAATGAAATGCAAAATCATTCCATTTATTCCAAAAGCTTTTCCTGAAGCTTACTATTTCAGCATTTTCTTTGTTTCATTTTATACTACTCAACTTCATTTTTTTGTTTTTACTGTTACCAGTATTAACATTAATATTCAGAACTGAAAAAAATAAATTAATTATTAAAAATATAACAAAAAAATATATAAAGATATGATAAATATATATACAAAAACTTACTTTTATAAATAAATGAATTAACATTTCATTTTTTCTTATTTTTAGATTCTGCATAAAATTCACTGCTATAATTTTCTGCTTTTTATCCAATGCTTTTCATAGTATTATATAATAAATCACATTTCTAAATTTTATTATTATTATCCAAAGCGTAGCAGAAGATATTAACGGTTAGACACATTGTAATGCAAGGTATGTCTATCCATGATTAACCAATAAGATGTTATTATTGATTATTATCACGTGATCAGATTTTTGGTGACACACCTGATGCATGATTTTAAATAAGTGCTTCAGATATTACAACAAATCCCGTTACCTAGTTAATAGAATATGCAACAATATGATTTGCTTTATTTTAGAATTACTATTTTTTGCAATCTATTTGTCACAATATTTGTATTCCAATACTTTTAAATTGTAAGGTTCATATTTAGCATAAATTTCTATCATTTAAGTAAAATTTAATTAGCCATCTAGAAGAATATATTGAATATTTAAAAAAAATAATGATTTAGAAGTTAAAATCAATTTTTATTAATAAATGAATACTAGATTATTTAAATAAAATAAAATTAATCTGTAGTTATTGGAGTTAAAAATAATAAAGTACATTAAATAATTTTCACTAAATCAACTTGTTTAGCAAGCTCTTCAATATTTAATTTAGGAATATTATTATCTAATGAAAAAAAAGAATCAATTTATTTTGAAATTATATTAATAGCCATAGAAATATTATTTTTCTTTAAAAATGATTTTTTTTTTCAATTCATTATTCATTTTGCAATCCATTAAAATATCATAATCTTTCTGATTTTGAATTAAAACTATTAGTTCCATGTAAATTAAGTTAAAGTTATTTTCCACTGAAATATATATGTCCAATGTTTCATATAATTCTGTTATAAAACTAAAAAAATCGTTAAAAATACTTCATATAGCAAAATCTATTGGCCAATCACATAAAAGTTTAAGTTGCTTAATATTTAAATTCAGAATTTATATTAAAATATTTTTAAATGATTTAAAAGATCTTGTACAATACATTTTAATATCTGTTAAAAATCCAAATGGATTATAATTAGAGTTCCTTAAAATCAAATTAAATTAAATATAATATTTGTAACAGCCTGTTACATATCTTATTTGTAACATCCTTTTTTTATTTTTTTTTAATAATAAATTTAGTATATGGTTTACAAATAAAATTTTTATAAACAAAATTTAATTTGGAAAACTTTTACTTAATGTACTTAAGACAGTTTTATAGACAAAATTTCAAGTTATAAGCAGTTTTTTGAAATTTTTTAAAAAATTCTTTTGTCTTGGTTACACAACTGATCTTTTGTTTTTGTTTACATTACGCCTGATCTTAAATTTTAATTGGATAAAATTGGGTTGTTACAAATAAGACGCGTAACAGGCTGTTACAATTAGATTTATCCTAAATATAAAACTAATTTGAATTTGCCGAATCAAAATTAATTTAAATTAAGGATTTTATTTTTATTACACCTGCATTATGTTGTATCCTTATAATGTATTACATATAAAAATTAAAAATGACATTTTAAATCCTTTTTGATATATTAAGAAAACTACTTATAAAGCAGTCAAAAATATGCATAGTATAAAGTTTTTTATAGTATATAGTAAGTGCATAAAATCTTATATTAGGATTTTTTAAAAAATGCGCAATCTTAATAAAGTCATGTAATCAAAATAATTTATAAAAATTACCAAAAAAGGAAAATGCAATATATTATAGATGTGAAAAAAATATATTCTTTAAATTAAATTCAAATCAAATATTAAATATTTATTAAACTGATTAATTAAATTAAAGAATTTTTAAATCAAATCAAATCAAATTTAAAATATCAAATTAAATTGTAAAACTTTAATTATAATAGTGTCAGCAAAAGTTTTAACCATCTAGATGATTCACCAATTTATATGAAGTTTTAAAATATAAACAATTAATATATTATTCTTTTGGAAATAATTAAAGATAAAAGTTTAAAATAAACCTAATTATGTTAGATCACCCTAAATTTCTTTATAAATAAAAATTTAATTTATCTATTAGATGATACTTCATCTCTATTTGATTGAAATCTGAATAACTAAAAAAAATTTTTATTATTAAATATTAAATTGACCTCTAGTAATTCAATTTTAAACAAACATTATATATATATATATATATATATTTGTAAAGCTAACTTTGCAGAATTAAATAACTATAAATTAAAAAAAAATTCATTAAAATTAGATTACTAGAAGTTAAAATAATTGCATTATAATAATTGTATATAAAAATAACTAAAAAAACAGAAGTTTATCACTTAATACATTTAATACTAACAATAATTTACATATATATATAAATGGTTACAAAAATGTGATAAAGTATTATAAAATATGTTGCTAAAAATAAAATGTTAAAAAAATGTGATATAAAACAAATAGAGGTAAATTATAATAATGTAAATAGAAGAAAGAAAAAATACATGGATTAAACTAATATTACAGAATCTTGCTTATTTATAAAATAGGTCGCCCTTCAAGTCTAAGGTAAAAATTATACTTCTCCGCTAATTAATTATGTCGTATTTTGGTGAACGGACCAATTCACTATTTATTATAAAATTACTATGAATTAATTACGTCTGTCAAAATACATTACGTCTGTCAAAATAAATTT